GCGGACTAGATCTAAGCTGGTAGTTAAGCTTAGAAGTCTTCATGCAGGCCCCCACATTTGTACCCTAAAGTTCAAAGTGGGGAAGCAGCCTTGACACACACACACACACACACACACACACACATACACACACACACACACACAAACTGAGCAGGGATAGTTCTACCCAGTTGAGAAGAACAGTCACACACACAACGTCTCCCTCCCTTGAGCTGGTGGCAACACAAACACACATGCACAAACACACACAAACTATTCTCGCAAAGTGCCTGCAGATTAGCGATCCCCTTGTCTCGCAGTTTGTGTCTTGACTCCATAGTGCTATGGCCCCAGCGCTCCTACTGGCAAAGCCAAGAAACTGGTTCCCAAACTAGTTCCGCGCTGCTGCATCCCATTAGATAAAAACAATGTTCAGATCCCAGTCCCAGTGCGTTCTCCTGAGTCCCATTCTAGTGTCCTCTCCCCTGGGCCCTCCTCCCTCCCCTCCCAGCCACCTCCAGTCATTACATGTGCGCTGAGCTGAGCGCACAGTCTCTCTGAGGTGTAAAGGTGACACCTGTCCCCGAGGGGACATCGCCATGAACTGAGCGCTCACCCTCGTCATCTCTTATACCCGCCCTGGGGAACCCACATGGAAATCCCTGCCCCGGGGGTTCCTGTTAAATACCAACCCCTGGTTCTAGGAGCCTCAGTCTCTCCCCAGACATAGAACTGCCCGGTCCTGCCCACTGGAGAGTTTCCCTCCTTGCATAAAAAGCAGAATGAAATCTCTGTTGCTTTTTCTTTCCCTGTTCTCCGTCCCCAATTGAAAGTGTCTATGGGCCAGTGGGGAAAATGGGGCTGATCCATATATTCATTCCAGATCAATTCAATCTTCTCTTTGTTTCCTTTCCCCAGGTGTCCTCTCTCAGGTGCAGCTGGTCTGGTCTGGCCCAGGAGAGGTGAAGCCTGGAGAGACCCTCACACTCAACTGCGCTGTCTCCGGGTTTTCTGTTAGTAGCAGCACCTACGATTGGCACTGGATACAGCAGCCTCCCGGGAAAGGGCTGGAGTGGATGGGACGGGTATATCCATATAGTAGTGGGACCACAAACTATGCCCCCTCTCTCCAGGGTCAAGTCACCATCTCTGCAGACACTTCCAAGAACCACGTCTCCCTGCAGCTCCACTCCCTGACAGCTGCAGACACTGCCACCTATTACTGCGCCAGAGACACACAGTGACACAGACTAAACCAGAGACTTGTACAGAAAGGGGAAGCGGTTTCTAACTAGCATAGAGAGGCCGGTTTAATAGACATATCTGAATCCCCACAGTCCCTACCTACCTATCCCCCGGCCATGCACACAACGCGAATGGTGGCATCTGGCTCTGGGTTCAGCGGTGAAGATGGAGTGACTGGGCAGTGTACTCTGAATCGGCAGCACAGAGTACCCCTGTAACTGGGCGTCAGAGCATCACAATTGAGAATACCAAATTCAGGATGAACCGCTGAGAAATAAGGCAGATACATCCCAAGACTGGTGACGAATCCCCCATAGGACACACCAAACCAGCAACAAAAGTAAACTCCTGTTTCACCACACTGGCTGACAAGAAGTCATAAAATCAATTTCCTCAGGCATTCCAGTTCTTATATCACCACCAAACACACTGGATTCAGAGAGGAGTGGTTCTTTACAATCAGTCTCATCAAATAATAGGTTCTTCTGATCCTAAAGGACCAGCCACACACCCAGGTCAATATATAACTCAAATCTTATCCAAAAATCATGCTGATGCCAGTCCCTTAGTATCTAAAATCGAAAGGTTTATTCATAAGAAAGAAGGTGAGAGTTAAAATTGGTTACAGGAATCAAATACATACAGTAATGGCAAAGTTCTTGGTTCAGGCTTGTAACAGTGATGGAATAAACTGCTGGCTTGATAAGTCTCTGGTTGCTTGGAAATCATCGGAAGGTCCACAGTCCCTTGGTTAAAATGCTCCCATTAGTATAAATCCATACTCCAGAGATTTGAGCAGGAAAGAAGAAAAATTGAGATGGTTCTAGCACCTTTTATAGCTTCTGCCATGTGGAGGGAATCCCATTGTCTCAAACAAAGCCCTAAGCACAGTTAGTGGAAAATCACAGGTGACAAGATGGGGTTTGGGATCACATGGACAAGTCACATGTCTATGCATACTTTTGCTTAGTCATAGCAGGAAAGTGCATTATCTGTAGATGGGCGTCTCCCATGGTTCATTGTTAGTTAAGTGTCCTTTTCATGGGCCACTCAATATCAATAGTCCCTCCAAATATGCCGGCTAACTTCCTTGCGGGTGTTACCCAAGGAGCCAACATTTGAAATCGAGGTATAGAGCCAATATTCACAACTTCAAATACAAAAATGATACATGCATACAGACAGCATAATCATAACCAGCAAATCAGAACCTTTTCATAGACATCTTACATGCCACATTTTGTACAAGATTTGTTGCAAATATATAACAGTGTTGCAACAATGATCTATATGGTCATATTTTAATGAGATAACATCACAACCCCTCCACCTTTCCAGCATCTCTAGTGACTCTAGGAAACTCACTCTACTCAGAGACCCAAGTGCTCAGCCTCCCCTGCTAGTATATTTTCCACTCTCTAAGAGAGAAAACTATGGATATGTCACTCGTTTTCCTGATCTTATTTACTTTCACCCCAGATCAATATTCAGGGAGGGGACTGCAAGAAAGAATCTTTTAAATACTTACTTATCCTGTCTAATCTGTTGTTCTTGATGCTGCTGCTTACAGGTGTCCTCCCTCTGGTGCAGTTGGTCCCAACTGGTCCTGGAGTGCTGGGATACTATAGAGGTCTACAAAATCGTGACTGCTGTGTAGCAAGCGAACAGGGAAGTGTTATTTATTCCTTCATATGACAAAAGAACCAGGGGTCACCCAATGAAATTAATAGGCAGCAGGTTTAAAACAAACAAAAAAAGGACGTACTTCTTCACACAACACACAGTCAACCTGTAGTACTCCTTGACAGAGGATGTTGTGAAGGCCAAGACTATAACAGGGTTCAAAAAACAAATAGCTACTGATGGACCTATCCTCCATGAATTTATCTATTAGCAGGATTGTTAGGGATGGTGTCCCTAGCCTCTGTTTGCCAGAAGCTGGGAATGGGCGACAGGGGATGGATCACTTGATCATTACCTGTTCTGTTCATTCCCTCTGAAGCACCTGGAATTGTCCACTGTCAGCAAACAGGATACTGGGCTAGATTGACCTTTGGTCTGACCCAGCATGGCTGTTCTTATGTTATTATGTTCTAAGTCCCAAAACGGGGGAAGAGGACTCCATGCAGTGCAGAGACCAGTTTTGAAGGGAGTGTTGGATCCTGGCTGTGACACACACATTCACATGAACATAAACAGCGATCCCCCCTCCCCTGCCCCCAACAGTAAATCGAATATGAACACCATATCCCAAAAATAAAATTCTCTCTCGCTCTCTCGGTCACACACACACACACACACAAACACTCACTTATAGGCTCGCCCAAAGTGAACTAATATGTATTTAACAAAACAGACTTCAGGTAATTGATCTTTACCGCATGCCCTATCCAGAGCAGGGTCTGCCTAATTTCCCACAATACCCTGGCCCAAAATTCTGTTGTGATACACAAATTCAGTGAAAATGTGGGTCTGCATAATCCAACATGCCACAGGAATGATGTCAAACAGAAATCAAATAAGGTAAATGCACAGACATGCAAAGATGAAATGGGTATAAACAATAAGAAAAGGTCAATGCGCGGTGTGTGGGAGTGTGTTCTTTGTACACAAAGGTATAAACAGGCACAAAGTGAGAAGATGTCACTGTCTCCATCAGGGGGTGGCATGCAGAGAGAAAGAGCGAGCATGTTTCACAAACACACACAGAACAGGGCTCTTCAGCAGGGACCGTCAGTGAAAAACACAAGCGTTCACACACATCTATCTACGTGCACAGACAGCAATTCTCATCTCCTCTGGTGGGGGGCAGGAATTACCTGTGAACACGCACTGCTGGCGCGTTGCCAAGCATCCAGTAATCACTGGGGGAAATCCACTGGCTTGTGCCATGCAGGAGGTCAGATTAGCGGGTGCAAATGGTCCCTTCTGAGCTAAATATATATGATGCTATTAACTCCAAAGTGACATTAACTACAAGCTGCTACTTTCCCTTCCACGTTACTCTTAGGACTCCCTGAATGCGAAGTTCTTCATCGCATAAAACCCCAAACCTGCCTCGTGCCTTTGTGTCTCCATTTCCTCCTCCCTATTTGTGTGTATCCGCTACCGAATGCCGAGTGTCTCTCCACACCTGCACCACTTTCCCCGTTGGATATATCTGCAGTGTCAGTTATTAATTAATCAGTATTATAAGAGGAATCACCTTCCCCTTTGCTCATCCCCCCCTGACAGCTCATTTCTATTGACTGCTTCTGTGCACTGGTTATGTTTCTCGGAGATGCCCAATGCACTTCTCAGCAGCCACTGTTGGAGGTTGGGATTCACAGGTCCAGTTAAGCCCTGTCCTAAGGCACATTACACTCAGGGGAAAGTGCGTCATAAGGTTCAGTGATCTCCCCAGCCCAGCCCAGACCTCATGGAGACGTGTTACTGTCCACTCTACCAGCCAATACTCCCAACTTACACAGCTGCTTGTCGCCTTATACCCGCTGGGTGAGACCCGCATGCAAATCCCTCCCCAGGGGGTTCCTGTTAAATACCAATCCCCGGTTCTAGGAGCCTCAGTCTCTCCCCAGACACAGAACTGCCCAGTCCTGCCTGCTGGGGAGTTTCCCTCATTGTATGAAAATGAAAATGAAATCTCTGCTGCTTTTCCTGTCCCTCTTCTCAACCCCCACCTGTGAGTGTCCATGGGTCAGTGGGGGGAACTGGTGACAGATCTGAGGAGTCTCTCTGTGGCTAATGCCTTTCTTGCTTTCTTTCCCTTTTCCCAGGTGTCCTCTGTCAGGTGCAGCTGGTCCAGTCCGGCCCAGGGGCGGCAAAGCCCGGAGAGACCCTCACCCTGACCTGCGCTGTCTCCGGGGTCTCCATCACTACTCAGCATTACCATTGGAGCTGGATCCGGCAGCCCCCCGGGAAAGGGCTGGAGTGGATGGGGTATGTGTACCCGTATAGTAGTGGGAGCACAAGCTACGCCCCGTCTCTCCAAGGCCGAATCACCATCTCTGCAGACACCGCCAAGAGCCAGTTCTCCCTGCAGCTCCGCTCGCTGACAGCTGCAGACACCGCCACCTATTACTGTGCCGGAGACACAGTGACCCAGAGCAGAGCAGGGACTGGCACAAAAAGGGGAAGCGGTTTCTAAACAGCCCAGGGAGGCCGGAGTTACAGGGAGAGTGAAGCCCTGCAGAGAAAGAGACACACACGGTGAACTCACTATGAAAAACATACATCCAAATAATTGGGATTTTTTTTTAACTCTGCAGAATTTAGCCAGTTTCTCCGGACACGCCTCGCCTTTGAGCTGCCACAGAAATCATGGGAAACTCACTGATAAAACACAGGTGTTTCATAGAATATCAGGGTTGGAAGGGACCTCAGGAGTCATCTAGTCCAACCCCCTGCTCAAAGCAGGACCAACCCCAACTAAATCATGCCAGCCAGGGCTTTGTCAAGCCTGACCTTCCTTTCCAATGCCTATCGGAGTGGGCCCGGAAAGATTCACGGAATTAAGAGCTACAAAATAATCGCACCGTGTGTCTGTTCCCCATTTCTGTGTCAAAATGTGTGCTAGGTGTGCACCGGGAAGGCCACGGTCTTTGCCTTCAGAAGAGAGTGAGGGGCACACACAGAGAGAGGGTGAGCGAGCAAGCCAGTCTCATTTTCTCCTGAAGGAGGCAGTAGACCTACACACACGCGCGCGGCTGCTCTGTGTGAAAAGCGCCTAAGAAGAAGGTGCCGCTTTCCTCCCCAGCGTGGGCTGCAGCCGCTGCCCCGTGTCCCGCCAGCACCGCCCTTGCTGTGACACAGCCCGGAAGCTGCTTCTGCTCCCCAAACCCAATTCCCTCCCCTTCCATACAGCTGTTTGTCAGTCTCTGAGGGGAAACCAGCGTTTCTCCCCTGCAGCTGTGGTTCCTTCCTCATCTGACCCTCCTGGGAGAGCCTCCCACCTCGGGACATCTCCTGGGCATGGTCTGTACCGATGGCAGACGCCCGGTGCATTTTGGAGCAGCCCGTGCTCCAAGGGAGAGACACGCATTGATTTCAAGGGGCTTCCACCCTTCGACATGGGGGTGGGGTGAGGAGGGAGTGTCTGACTCTCCGATCCACCCGACAGCGCTCCCTGCATAGCACTCCCTTCCCCTGGGAGTTTATCCCTGTTGGATAAACCCGCATGCAAATCCCTGGCCAAGCGAAGTCACCTGAGTCACAGTCCAGGGCCCGGTCCTCTGCACCCTCCTTCCTACCCTCACAGCCACCCACCTCCTGCCATTACATGTGTGCTGAGCTGAGCGCACCGTCTCTCTGGGGTGTAAAGGGGACACCTGTCCCCGAGGGGACATTGCCATGTACTGAGTGCTCACCCCCGTTATCTACTATACCCACCCTGGGGAACCCGCATGCAAATCCCTGCCCGGGGGTTCCTGTTAAATACCAACCCCTGGTTCTAGGAGCCAGATACAGAACCGCCAGGTCCTGCCCCCTGGGCCATTTACCTCATTCTAAGGGATACCCCGGAGATAGCGCAGGTCAGGGTGAGGGTCTCTCCGGGCTTCACCGCCCCTGGGCCGGGCTGGACCAGCCGCACCTGAGATAGAACACGTATGCAAAGCTAAATGAAGCAAGTAGGGAATTAGCTACTGAATGTCTGCATGTGTCCCTAGTTCCCCCACTGCCCCAGAGACACTCACAGGTGGGGGCGGAGACAGGGAAAGGAAAAGCAACAGCGATTTCAGTCTCGTTTTCATAGAATGAGGTAAATGGCCCAGGGGGCAGGACCTGGCGGTTCTGTATCTGGCTCCTAGAACCAGGGGTTTGTATTTAAGAGGATATGCATCCGAAGAAGTGGGCTGTAGCCCACGAAAGCTTATGCTCTAATAAATTTGTTAGTCTCTAAGGTGCCACAAGTACTCCTGTTCTTTTTCCAGTAAAACTAGACAACATTCCCAGATCACATCCCAATGCAGACAGTCCCAGTAAAACTAGATGACATTCCCAGGACAATCCGCCCCACTCTCTACTGCGTCACATCTCTCCCCCCTTTGAGACTGAACTGAGTGGATCACTCTGACCAGTGATCTGGGGAAGTTCAGGGCCCCCTCTCCAGGACAATGCATCCACTATCTTGTTGGCACTTCCCTTCACATGGACCACGTCCATATCATAATCCTGCAGGAGCAGGCTCCACCTCAGGAGCTTGGCGTTGGCTCCCTTCATCTGGTGTAGCCAGGTCAGGGGAGAGTGGTCAGTGTACACGGTGAAGTGTCGCCCAAAGAGATATGGCACTAGTTTCTTAAGGGCCCACACCATGGCCAGGCATTCCTTCTCGATGGCCGTGTTGTTTTGCTCCCGGGGTAGCAACTTCTTCTCAGGTACACGATGGGGTGTCTGTCCCCCTTTTCATCATCCTGCATTAACACCGCCCCCCAGTCCCATGTCTGAGTCATCAGTGAACACCATAAAGGGCTTGTCAAAGTCTAGGTTTGCCAGAACTGGGCCACTGACCAGAGCCTCTTTCAGCGCCCTGAGAGCCTTCTGGCACTGCTTGGTCCAGACCACCTTGTATGGCTTCTCCTTTTTGCATAGCCCAGTGATGGGGGCAGCTATGGTGCTAAAGTGGGGCATGAATCTTCGATAGTACCCCGCCATCCCAATAAAGGCTTGGGCCTGCTTTTTGGTTTGGGGAGCGGGCCGGTCTCTGATCACCTCCACTTTGGCTGGTTCCAGCTTTAGGCAGCTGCTCCCCACTCGATGGCCCAGGTAGGATACTTCAGCCATCCCCACCTTGCACTTCTCCACTTTTATGGTCAGCCCAGACTCCTGGAGTCGGTCCAGCACTTGTCTAACCTGGGATACATGGTCCTCCCAGGTCTGGCTAAAGACACAGATGTCATCAATATACGCCACAGCAAAACTCTCCATCCCCCTTAGTAGCTGATCCACCAGGCGCTGGAAGGTGGCCGGCGCTTCCTTGAGGCCAGAAGGCAGGGTGAGGAACTCATAGAGCCCCAGAGGGGTGATAAAGGTGGATTTCAGCCTGGCATCTGCATCCAGTGGCACTTGCCAGTAGCCCTTTGTAAGATCCATGGTGTTCAGGTACCGAGCTCCCCCAAGCTTGTCCAGGAGCTCGTCAGGCCTGGGCATGGAGTAGGCATCAGATACAGTGATGGTATTGACCTTCCGATAGTCCACACAGAACCGGATCGATCCGTCTTTTTGGGGGATCAGCACCACCAGCGAGGCCCAAGGGCTGGAAGATGGCTGGATCACCCCCAAAGCCAGCATGTCCCTGACCTCTCTTTCCAGGTCCTGAGCAGTTTTCCCTGTGACTCGGAAGGGGGAGCATTTTATAGGCGGGTGCGATCCTGTCTCCACCCGGTGGACAGTCAGATTAGTGCGTCCATGCTGGTTGGAAAACAGCTGTGGGTACAGATGCAGCACCCCTCTGATCTCAGCTTGCTGGGCAGAGGTTAGCCGATCAGAGAGGAGGATTGTTTCCAGGGGGGAGCCAGCTCTTGTCCCAGGGAATAGATCTACTAAAGGGTCATCTCCCTGCTCCTCCCAATGTCCGCACACGGCCAACACACATTCCCCCTGTCATAATATGGCTTCATCATATTCACATGGTACAC